GAAACTCTGAGCTGAAGGAGAAGACAGAAACCTGATATGTTCATGTCAGCTGCACAAATAGCTCCACTGGAACAGGATTTTATTCTGTTGCTAGGTTTTGTGTTCCTATAACAAGCTAAATATGATTGTAGAAGAGTCATTTTCTCCATCAGCTCCATGTTGGTCTGATACACGTAGCTAACATGCTACAGCATCTGATTTTTACATTTAAATTTCTACACCTGTGCAACGGACAAGAAGAACAGGAAAATAAGACTTGGTGAGGGGATACGTTTCATGTTTTTATCAAGCTAACAGTTTCCCCCTGCTTCCAGTCTTTGTGCTAAGCTAGGCTAAACACGTGGTTAGCTAAAAGTGGTTAGCTGTTTGTAACTAGCTTAACATTAGCTTAATTAGCTTTGATAGAGAACTTGTGGCTCTATTATTATTATTATTATTATTATTATTATATTACATTTTAATGTTGTAGCTGGTCGAGAAGGAGCAAAACATCAGGGCTGGATCTAAATGAATCCTCCTGATGAATGTGCTGGTTATTTTCTCAGTGAATTAACCCAAAGAGATTCAAATTATCATTTTGATTTTCACTGGAGCCATCCAGTGTTTGGCATTTTTGCCTGATTAATTCAAATGATCATTCGGTTATCATAAAAGCTGTTAATTTTCTGTTGATCAACTAATGAATGAATCAGCTAATCACCGCTGCCCTGCTAATTTAACTTCAATTTAAATACAGTTGGCTGGTTTAACCTGTATCTGTGCTTCATGATTAATTCATTCACAACTTGACTTGAATGGACTCTTCATCTTTGAAATAATGAGAAACCAAAGTTGTCAAATAAATGTAAAAAGTGCAATGACCCTGACATGAAGTATAGAGCGGCATACAGCGGAAATACGCACATACACATACCTCAAATTTGTACAGTGCTTGAGTAAATATGTTTACTTCCCAGCACTGACACTTTGACTCAGCATTTCCAGCTGAATCCAGTATTTTTATATGAAACAGAAACATCATGTGATGTCTGAAGAAAATAATGATAAAACAAAGTGAGCTGAGTGTGAGTGGGAAACTGGATCAAGTTAAATCCACTGGACTCTTTTTATAGTGTGCAGGCTGCACACAGGCTCTGAATATGTAGGTCAAGTGTTTTAAAATGTGTGTGTTCCTTCATTAGTGAGAGAGTCTGCAGCAGTATTAGAGTGGGAGTCGAGGCGCGAGCAGCGTGAATAACAAAATGTACAGATCCCATTTTTACGCACGCTGATTGTCTTTCTTCACTGTACTTCACAGTGACACGCCCGGCGCCTCCTACATGTGTGAACCAGCACACACCTCGCTAGGTGTGGGTGACATTTAGGAAACATGGTGGTCACAGACTCAGCTCTTCTTTATTCAGATCCCCGCTAGCATCCGCGAAGCAGTCACTAGTCTTCACAGGGGTCACACAAAAACAATATAAACAGGCAGCAACTACCAGTGTCAGCATGTCAATAAAACAATAAAGCGTGTGGTGAGGCGTGTAAAGTCCACTTTGCTTGTTAATCTGGTAATGTTTTATTCCTCTGTGACATTTCTTTGCCTTCCATTAGTTTTTGAAACAGGAAGTAAACACATCTTTTTGATGTAGCTGCTACCGTTTAGCGTACACGGTGATGGTGCAAGACAATTAGGACATTTACAAAAGTCGTGTGGCTCCAGACTCAGCTGAAACTTGTCTGACATGAGTCTAGGCCCTGACTGGAGTCCATCTGTGGCAAACTGGGCTGACTGGACAGAATGTAGAAAGACACACACCTGTGTATTCAAACTGCAGTTTAGGACACAAACCAGGACATGAAGTCCAGGAGCTCCCTGTAGAGTTCTGTGGTCAGACTGTGGTGAGGACCAGATCAGGACCAGGGGATCAAACCATGTCTAAAGCTCTGAGTGTCCCCAGGAGCACAGTGGGGCGGAGTTCTTAGCAGCAGGGGCAGGGAGACTGGTCATACCTGAGGGCAGGATCAATGCAGCCAGACACAGAAGAAAACCAGACTGGGCCAAGGGTTCACCTTTCAGGCACACAGCCCAGACACTGGAGCGGCCTCAGCACCAGGCTCTGCCTGTCCCTGAGGGGCCCAGCCACAGTCCAGGCTTAGACCCCAGAGGACATCTGGGCAGAGACCTGGGGATAGTGACCCCTGTTTTATCAAAGATCTACAGTTCTCTCCTGAAATTAAACCAACTTTGACCCTGATGACTGATTCTGACTCGAGTTCAAACACGAGGAACTCTTCTTCCTCCTCAGTGTGACGCTGCCATTTATTCTCAGACCCTAGATTCAGCCTCTGATAATCAGCAGCAGTTGAGAAAACAGCCTGAGCTCACAGTCTGAGCTCCCATTGGTCAGGCCCGTGACCCCCTGATCCCCTGACCCCTTAGACTCAATCATGCTGCAGCTTTGCATTCTGGGTAATGTAAACAAACAAAGAGGGGAGGCAGAAGTGATCAACCTGCAGAGTTATGTGGACCAGACTGAGAAGCTGAGTGTCCTCCTCAGGTGGAGTTTGCTCAGGTGTGACAGAGCAAGAGACGCTGAGCAAAGTCATGTGATGAGAAAGACCATATATGGTCAAAAGGTGCACAGCGAGTTTTAGGGAGCCTCTTTGTCTGTGGTTCATGACACTCAGAGGTGACACAAGGAAACAAAACCTGCTTTAGAAACCAATTCCTATGCAAAGAGGGAAATTTAAATGTGTAAAAAAAATACAGCCCAACTTCTCAACATGTATTTTGTCATTGAGTCTTTGTCCATTTTGTTCTTTGCAGGGTTGAGCCCAACGGGGCACACAAACCACACCACACTGCACAAAATGCTCTGCTTAAAAAACAAATCAGATAGCATATCTTTTCACACCTCAGTTTATTCTTTACTGTGATGTTTACTGAGAATCTGGTTTAAATGTTTCCATCTAAACCTGATTTAAAAACAAATTGGCTTGTGTTTGTTTCCGTTCCTTTCTGCGATGTTAAGCCTCCACACTCAGAGTGTTTACTCAGCTCCCTAGTGTGAGTCAGAAACACAGCAGTGTGTCGCTGAACCATGTCAAACCTGTTCCAGTTAATCCCAGTTTACCCTGATCAGACGTTTAACTGGGAGCTGTGATTACACAGAGTGTTTGGGTGTCAGACTGCAAATATCCGCATTAATCTGGTTTGTCCCGAGACGTCTGGTTGTCCCAGGCTGGTTGTTGATCACTAAACAAAGTCAACAAAGACTGAGCTGCAGGAAGCAGCGACTGTGCAGCCATCAACTGTTTTACTAACAAACAATCAGATAAGAGATGATTGTTTTATTGCTGTGCAATAGTAAATATTCAAAAGAAAAAACAAGACCGTTTTAACAGACAACTGGTGTCCTTTGTAGAACAACTATTGTTTCATTGCTTAAATTGAAAACACAGTCAGAATTAAACCCATTTAGTGCACGTCCATGCCGGGCCCACGGCGCCAGGGGCTACACTTACCCTGTGTGGGGACGGGATATGGAGGATGTTGAAGCTCAGATGCCGTGTACCATCGGGCACCCGGGACAGGGTTTTGGTTTTCAGCCCGACAGTAACAATCATCCCTGTGAAACGTAGATCGATTATTGAAACCAATAGTAGATCAATAATAGTGAGTGATTTAACTTTATGCCAGTTTAACAGAGCTCTGGTAATCGAGTCTCAAGCCGTCAGTTAAACTGACAGAAACAGAAGACGAAGCTGCTTTAGTTGTGATGCCCCAACAGTAGATCTGGGTCCCAGTCTGGCTGGAATTCAAGGACTTTCAAGGACAGATGGAGACCTTGGATTTTCCTTCACCAACTTTGACATGAAAAAAATGGACAGATTAAATGATCACAAGTGTTACACTGACAAATGAGGATCACTCATGGATTCACATCTCAAGCAGGTTTCAAGGCTCTGCTGACTAGCTTTCCTTGAAAAGGAACATTAATGGCATCCAGATGCCTGGAAGGTTGCCAGATGTGGAGGTGATGATGTACCTGAAGATGTGCAGATGAGAATGTTGGAAACTTCTTGTCCATGTTGGCTGAAGAGTTAAGGGTCAAAGTTCACTCCTGATGAAAGCCTTGCTAATGCTGTTTTGTCATCAAATATAAAATATTTAAAGACCTTGGTCATGAAAATCTTCTGCTAAAACATCAAGTCCACACAGTTGAAAACACTTCATCCCTGACCCCTAACCTCTTGTTTTGAAGTAAAGATCGACAAGGCTCCCGCTCTCCAAACATTTACAATTCCCCAAGTACACCTTGATCCTCCTCAAGGATTCCTGGAACATGCTAAAGTAGGACATGCTCCAGGAATTTGGAGTGAGATAGAATAAAAAGATATGATTTTAAAGGTTTGTTGACTTCAACCTTGGGAAGCCTTGATAATTCCTGGAATACACTTTGAATCTCATGCTGATGAGAAGCTGCTCAGAGACAGAGAAACTTAGTTACTGACAACTGAATAAATGTTGTTAATGAAGACTATGATGTGACTGAAGGCTCCAGAACAGCCACTAAGTGGACCCTGGGTTTGTCAGAAGAGTTTCAAACTGTAAAACCTGCTTTTAAAATGGTCTGAAAGTGTCAAACCGAGGGGGTTTGCTAAAACTAGTAACAGCAGCAGTCGAGCACATTACAGGATGCAGCTGGTGGTTTGTGTGTTTTGCTCCAGAGGCTGAGATGGGACGTCACTCTGTGCCGTGTCAGAGGTCAGAGGTCACACACTGATGGCTGCTCTGCCAGCATCTGCACAGAACAACATGCTGGAAGTGGACGGCGGTGTGGCTCACGCACACTTAACGGTGACGACACCACATTCACCGGTGCTGCTGGGCTCTGCATGGGGTTTGTGCACAAACATACAAAGTCAGCAGCTGCATCCTTTAAGGAGCCAATAAGAAGGTGAAAACTCTCCCATCACCAGCATCAGAGATCAATAATCAGTCAGAGCAGGTGATCAGTCTCAGTTCCAGCTGATTTATTCACTTGTTCACATACAGACTTCATCATGAAGAACAGGTTAATGCAGTTTCCCCCTCTGCTACCAAAAACCCTCAGGATGGTCTTTTTTTTTAATATTGCACAAAAATAATGAGCAAACACAAAATGTGCCACTGATGATGTAAAAACGTAACAGAAAATCCAGTTCTCCTGCTTCCAGGGGCTCATTCACACAATATACATAGACTCCTACTCTTTAACTATTTTACACAACATGTACAATCTTGGATCTGGTACCGGTTCTACCAGACAGTCCAACTGTGACCGTCTGTCTGCACTCAGGTTAAAACTACTGCAAGGCATTAAAGCAAGGCAGGCTGCAGGGGCGTGACCCTCACATGCTCAGTAACAAGTAACAGTCTGAATGAAAAGTGGTAGAAGAGATGCCTGGAAAAGCCTGTGACATTCCCTCGGACTGTACAAAAATAAGCCTGAAAATAGTTCTCCTTCTTGATATTGTTTAAAAAGATGAGGTATGTTTGGTTACGGAAAGTTTAAAAACGGTTCCTGCCAAACCTGTGGTCGCCTGGGTTTCAAACAAACATGTCAGGACACCTGGAGGAGCCGCAGAGCCCCAAACTAAAAAGGACGGAGGTGCTGGAGGCGCACACACACCAGTCCTGCTGCTGGGAAGGAACTAAACCAAACCATTTAAAAGTTGATCCTTGACATTAGTGTTAATAAAAGTCACTTCTGGGTCTGGACGGGAATGCATAGTCCGGGTCCTGGTTCAGACCCGAGCGACTGAAAACTAAATCCATAAAACCCTGTCGAGGTGATTTCATATTATTGGTCCTTTTGCATCAGTACCGCGGTGCGCGTCCCCCAGAGCCGCACGCTCCACGCACACTGTGCCCTGGCAGAGACAGCCACATCACCCCGGTCCCGGACTAGCTGTGGTCCTCCACAGCCAGAACCCCAGAACCGGCTCCGGAGCAGAGGAGAGGGTGGTATCGCCCTCCGTGGGATCAGTACGTGAACACCAGGCCCGTGAAGTTGGCCTCCAGCCAGTCCCCGGCGATCATCTCGCTGAGCTCTGGGGTGCAATAATCCGGGAACTCGAAGTGAGACCCGAGGCTGCCCTCGCTGCTGCACGAGTCCAGGTCTTTATCCACCAGGGACAGGCTCAGGTTCCCCGGGGCCGAGCTGGAAGATGAGCTGGACGGCTCGGAGGAGGCATGGAAGCCGGCCAGGAGGCTGAGGGTGAAGTCGCTTCCCTCCGCGGGAAGATCGTCCAGGTCCTCCCCGCAGCAGGACGAAGAGGAGATGGATCCGGACCGGGACGAGGGTGCTGGTGAGACGGAGGCAGGGTAGGGGGAGCTGCTGGTGCCCTGCCGGGTGGTGTTTTTGAGGCTGTAAAGCAGCCGACCGGACGACTCGTACCTGCTGGTTCGTTCCGGTTCGGTGGAACGAGAACTCAGGCTGGTTGGAACCATGGCGAGGCTGTAGCGATGAGCCGCCGCCTCCTCCTCCTCCTCCTCATCATCATCATCATCGTCCTCATCCTCCTCCACCGCTTTAAACTCCCGCTCGTCCTCAGAATCGTCTTCGTCGTCTTCCTCTTCATCGTCGGTAAACTCCCGTTTGATGAAACTGTTGGTTTCAACGCTGGTAGTCAACAGGTACCGGTACCGTGGGTCCAGGTGCTGGTGCTGCGGGAGGTGACTGTTGGCTCGGCCGGGAGCGACCACCGGCTTGCTGGGTTTTAACTTCTTCGTGGTTTTTTTGTTGATGGCTCTGACGCCGGTTTTCTCCGTGGACTGAGCGGCTGGCTTCCCCGTAGGAAACGCACATCCGTCCGTCTTGGGTTTCTTCTTGGGCCGGTACTTGTAGTCCGGGTAGTCGGCCATGTGCTTGAGCCGAAGCCGCTCCGCCTCCCGGATGAACGGGATCTTTTCAGTGTCTTTTAACATCTTCCACCGCTTCCCGAGCCGCTTGGAGATCTCCGCGTTGTGCATGTCCGGTGACTGCTCCATAATCTTCCTCCTCTCGATTTTGGACCACACCATGAAGGCGTTCATGGGCCGTTTAATGTGACCCGACGCCGTTTTACACCAGTCCGGCTTCAGCGGCACGGAGCTGCACGCCGAGGCCGTAAGCAGCTTGCTGTCCTCCGTGTCGGCTGCCTCGCGTGATCCGGTGTTAATCGCCTTCCCGCCATGCTCCGTACGCTGAACCATGGTCCGAACCAACGTCTCAAACTGTCCGTGACCGACTGCAACAGAAACGTCCACTACTTTATTCGACCGATTCAGCTCCGTTACACTCACGTTGAGCCACGACCAGTCTGTCCGGCAGCATCTCTCCGCGTAAACTTCTAAACCGGCGGCTTAATAACCGGCTGATCATGC